CATCGGCTATGAGTCATTAAGTTGTAGATTTATTCTGTAGCTTACACTGCATTTTGTACAATAGCCTGCGCTATGAGCGGGAACAGTGGCTTTTGAGAAAAATGTAATGTGAGACGCGCCAGGCGCGTTAGCTAGGTGTAAAAAGGGAACATTGTGGTGGACTGGCAGTTCCATAATTTCGCTTTATGACATTTTGTTCTGTGTGTTAAGATCTAGGGAAATATCATGCGGAATTTTGTGCCGCTCGGCTGTTCCACCTCACAATGCTGGCCGCTGTACATGTGGTGTGTAACCGAGTTATTTTTATCATAATGACGCCCCTGTTATAACGGTAATAATTATGGTGCCCCGGTCTCCCCGGTATGTGCGTGTGTGTGTGTGTGTGTGGGGGGGGGGGGGTCAGATTGGAAGGAAAGGCTCTTCTGGCGGGTGTGCCAAACTGGTTTTCCTTAGAAAAGGTAGAGCGAGAGTGTGGAGGAGAGACTGGTGCATCTCTTGTTCACTCAAGAACTTAACAACAGGCTCAGGTTCTGGCGGCATTATTCATGACTGGCTGGTGCGTCTCTTGCTCACTCAAGAACCGAATCAAGCAGTAGGTTCAGGATGCGGCGGCATCATCCACGACTGGATATTGCTATTTGCATTTCGCTGACCACCTCGACACCATTCAAGACATATTAGTAGTACTAGGTCTTTAGTCTGTAGAAAATGCGCAAAATAGATGCAGAAGGAGGTGTTGCGAAGCCATCCAGGGTTAAATTTAAACACTGCAATTCAGGTAGCTCATGGCATATCAGCCACCTTAATGGAAGTGATGAATGGAAACTAATAGTAAAGAACATTAATCGTTCGCCTTATATTTTATAGGCTATGCTGTCACGCATTGAAGAGGAAGCCAAATGAAAGTTTAAGTGATTCCTCCTTGTAAAGTATTTTGCGACGAGTGCTGATTTTTTGTGAACTTCGTTAAATGTTCCTTGTATTTAACTCCGTTACATAGCCCACTATAATTCATTGCTTAATATTTTAGCGCAAATGATCATCGTGCAAAATCATAAAATGGAAATAAATGTTTTAAAAAAAAAAGCAATAGCTGAGTGGAAAGGTGTTCTCTTCATACGCAGCAGACCCTGGTTCGATCCTGTGTGTGAGCATACTGTTTTTTAGTTTTGTTTTTTTTACATTTTGCGATATTTACACATTTCTTTTTTTTTACAATTGTCACTGAAAAAAAAAAAAAAAAAACGTGTCCTGGACGCAATGAAACTTGTGCGGACCCTGCCACAGAATGCCACTTTCGAATGCAGGACCTGTGAGGCAGCTCTTCATGCAACATATTGGGGGTATTCTTTTCGGCAGATCACGGGCATTCACCATGGGCACTCACTACTCATTTCCAACTCTTCAATGTACAAAACCACTCATCTTGAAGTGCAGAACAGCGAGCGGATTCAGCGGCACATAACTGCAAAGCAATCGCACGGCAAACGAACTGCGGCACGCGGCCAAAAAAAAAGAACGGAGGTGAAAAAAAACGCACGGTCGAGTGTAGTTACGTGACTTCCGGCACACTCTCCTCCTCTATTTCTCCGACCTCCGTGCGCAGGTGTCGGTTTCGGTTTCCAGCAGCTGCGTTTTTTGGCTTTATTATATATGCGTGACTTTGCAGCAAAATATAAATTGGTTAGTCTTCCGACACCAGTTTAAATCGCCTAGCAAAAAAAAAAAAAATTTTTGTGGGGGGGCGGGAAAGGGGGGGGGGGGGGGGGGTAGTGTCTTTAAGCGAAAAGCGTACTCCCGCATTCTTGTAATGACACGCCGGCCAGATTGTCCTACATAAACCTTTCCACAAGGGAATCTTGTGCACTATTCCAACGTTCCAGTGTCTTAACGTGCATTGTTCAGATTTTTCTTTTGGCGAGTTTATTTTGGGGCACGGTCTTTTTTATTATTTTATTATCCGGTGCAGATAGGGCCACAAGGACTTCCAACTGGGAGGCCACCCTCTTCAGGTTGTGCGAAAGTCTGTGGATGTATGGGACAACCGCCGGCCGACGCCTTTTCTCGGATTCAATTTTTCTTTCTCCGTTGGGATTCGCCAAGCATTCCGCAGCATCCAACACAATAGAAGGTGGAAATCCATATTCTACTATAGTCAGTTACAGGTTAAGAAGGTAGCGGCAAATGCCCCTCAAAGGGAATCGGATATCCCTCCGCCACCTTCGCATCCAATAGCGTCCCACCGTTTCCGTGACGTCGCGGACAACGCGCGAGGAGGGTCTTGACTGTCTGTATATATTTGCTTTATCTTTCGACTTTGACTTAGCATTGTGGAAGCCACGAGAGGGAGATAGAGTTTTCCCCCACCGATGGAAACAAATGCGACTTTCGGGGATTAGCTTCCCCCCCCCCCCCCCCCGATGGATACAAAAGCTGCTTTCAGGGGCTCGGTTCCCTCTCCAATGAATACAAAGGTCGCTTTCTTAAAAAGTGGGATCGGAGACAAGTGGGAATCCATTGAAGCGGAACAAGGAGCGTTTCCAGTGAACTCTTCTTTCGACTGCGGAGAGATTTGAAACAGGCACATCACACTTGTGGGAGGAGCGTCTCCTACCTTCTTGACTTGTAACCGACTCCTCTTGGCTGAGCGTCCGCAGGATTTGATTTGTGCCGCCCTCAAGCAACATATGTCTTTTCGTTTTGGACCCAATTCATTATCACGCATTCTATCATGACATTTGAGAAAAACCTCACAATAAGGTGTAAAAAAATATTTTATTTATTAACATATGTAAGCATCTTCTTCGTTTTAAATAGCCTGCAACTCTTTCTTACAAATCATGCTTCCATCCAAACTGCAGCCTGATATTCCAAGTTTCCATCAACTATGAAAAATCAACTCTATTAATGACCAGTTCCTAGGTCTGGCAAATTTATTGAACGCCGTTTTATCGAACACCGTTTCATTAAAAAGTTTTATCAAACACCGCATAGTTGAGAAGTAGGCATTTTGGATTTAAAAAATAGTTAGGTTTTAACACCAGGAGTGTAGCAATGCTAAAATAATCATTACAATTTACGAGCTCTCTCTTCCAGTAGATTAGGCAACTACATAATAATGACCATTTTCCCCACTACTACTTCTAATCTAGTTCTTTTCGTAGTAAGTGTTGACTTTTGTTGTTAATGTGCGGCCAAAAAAAAAACGGGAACACTCGCTTGACACTTCTTTGAACCTGTGATCATCGGGTAGGGTGAACGGCATATCCCTTCAAGGCCGCATCCTCATCCCTGATAAGACCTATTTCTCAAGAATGAAGCCGTCCTTGAAGCAATGATCTGTCTCCATGTAGCATGAAACAAAGAAGTTTCCCCTCTTTAAAAGGGGGGGGGGGGGGGGGGGGGGTGCAAGGATTCATGGACTTAGGTCAAACATTTGTGGACGTTGCCCTCTGGCACTTCTAAAGCAAAGAACAGAAAACCGATTTCGCCTGCGGGTCCTAGTGGTTGTGCTCAATAAAAAAACGTTCAGCCTTTCTACTCTCGTGAAGAAGGAAAACCAGCGGAGCTGTACTCGATACACTGTGTGCTTCTTCTTCTTCGTCGTCGTCCGTTTTTCGCGCAGTTTCCTACGATGAATTCCCACCAACGCGCCCAAATATCCATTCTTTTATTACAGCTGGAAAGGTTGCTGCAATCTACGAGCCACGGCGGAAACCATACTGGCTGTGTGCTCGCCGCCGTCGCTTATAGATGGCGGTAGCTGTCCAGGTAGGTTTGTGTCGACATACACAGACACAATCCTGGGGAACCTAGCCCTTAACAGCTCCGCTGTAAAAAGATAAATATTGCCATTTCTGGCAGCCCTCACCTCGCTCCCAGTCTTCAGGGTCACAGCTGGTCCCCCTCCTAGTGACGTAATTCGGGGTGCCGTGTAGCTTCCCGTGTGCTCTCTCGGAGGACGCCTCCTCTCCCTCTCTCTGCTGGCATTAGCGAGCGTTATGCTGCAGCTTATAGCCGAGCGAGGTCACGTAATCTTTTCGCCGTAGTTCCTTCGGCTGCCACTCGCGGCTGCAGGTGGGGAGGGAAAGCGCGACTTTTGCTTTGCGATTATACAGCGGAATTGCGACATAATTTAATGAAGATGTTTTCTCTATCCTCGGGGACATAATAAACGTAAAAATGACGAGATGCGAATTCTTTTCATCTTAAAATCGTTGCACCCCCCCTTTATTTATTTATTTATTTTTTTTTTTTTTTTTTTGTAATCGACAAAACCTGGACATGGCAGATTTTCAACCGATGTTCTTAGAAATGAAGCTATTGTACTAGGATAGAATGAAAACACAAAGAAACAGACAGATACAAAATAAAAAAAGGTGCACTGGAAAATAGTTGTAGCCCTTCTCAGAAATACTTTTCATGCATGAACACATATGGGAACCAAGAGATAAAAATGTGTGATAAACACACATTTTAAACAACCACTTAACTTACAAGAAAACACGAAGTTGCATATCCCACTCAAGTTTTGCTGTGTGAACATCTTAGGAACCGGAGACCAGGGACAAAAATGAGGGACGACACGCAACAGTTGTGTGTGTAGTCCCTTTTTTTTTGTCCCTGGTCTCGTTTCCAGGATGTTGAATGTACACCAGGTCACCTCTATATTCTGTTATTTCCTTTGTTATGTAGTTACATTTTCTATGATTTAGTAACCAATATTTCGGTGAAAAAATGATCAGGGTAGTAATTCTCCTACTGGTGATGTGACACCAGCGTCAAGAACAATTTCAAAACTGAGAGTAAATAATCTAGAAAGCACTGTCATGTCCCAAGATTGGTAAAGCGATATTCAATGAAACAGTGTCAAGCGATTAGATAAAACAGTTTGATAAATTGGTGTTCGATGAATCAGCGTTTGATTAATTGGTGTTCAATGAATCAGTGTTAAATTAATCGTTGTTCAATAAAATGTCAACTTACCCAATGAAATGGCATTCGATATAATGTCTGGTACCCACCACCAGTTGCCTTTTACTAAAAAGAACATTTAAACCAATGCAAAAGATGCAATTTGAAGCTTTTCATTAACAGTGTTCTGCAACAATGAAACAACTCACTCTCATCTAATAATGCAACAGCAGCCCGTGTCTGACAAACATGAGTTGCACACGTTTATCGTAGTGAGGTGGTTTTGTATACATTTCAATAACCACACTCGCAGCCCTAAATGTGAGGGAGCCAAGGGGTTGTCATCGCCAATCAAGTTAGAATGAAATGTTACCAAAGGTTGCAAAGACAGATTTGCATCAACCTCCAAGACCAATGTATAGATGTCTTGAGCAATTAGCACTTTAGGACATTTTTATAGGTGGCCATTTCCAAATGCAACAGTCACCTTTGCTCCCAGCAAAATAGCAAGCACTTCTTATCAAAGTTCTCCGTCATTCGATCAAAATTTTTTTAGCTGCCCTCATGTAGATGTTTGTACATACATATACTGCCCAATTAAATGGGCCAAACCCAGTTCAAATGAATGTAAAGATCTAGTTTTACCAGTTATATTACAGTCGTTTACCTCAAAGGTGATCTGTTTAGTGAAGATATTGAAGGAAGTTACGTCAATCAAAATCCCATAGACCGACATGCATTTAAGACGTGCCAAAACGAGAACATCCGGCTGTGGCCCACTGGAGCATCTGACAGGACAAAACCAGGCGATTTTCTTCCCTGCTTCTGCTCAATGAAACGTCATATGGCCCACAAGGCTTTTCCATAATGACAAAGCTTAGTTCCAAAACAATCCATAGAAAAATTCTGGCTTTTATCTGTACCTTGCAAATGAAACAGGTTTCTCCAATAATTTTATCATAAGACTAAAGCACCACCTAACAGAGCTTTTGTAGTGACATGTAAATTACGGTATTCTAGCAATGATCAAATTTATTTCCCCGAAACAGTTTCAATTAATTGAGACGTCGTCCTGTCCCTTTCTGTTTCTTCGACTTTTATCTTCATTTCTGCCCCAGTCTCAGGTATATTCAACATGGTCAATTAATTTCTCACAGACTATAAAACTGTATACGACGCCGTCTTCCTACGCCGCTTGGGTACGCCAGAAAAATGTTTTCTTATCAAGTTTCCAAACCACTGAGCTCTTGAATTGGCCACAATTCTGTTAATTTAGTTTCATCAAAATTTCGCCGAATTTACCTGCAGTTTTTTTTTTAAAGAAAGGTTATGGTCTTCGTTTAAAAATATATATATATAAATAACTGATCCATAAGTCTTACACAACTTTAAATACTTTATAATGTATTAGTCAATTTTATCCTCTTAACAATATTTTGAGAACTGCATAGTTTGCTTTATACATTGAGATCACCACACATGAATACAAACACGCAGCACCATAGAAAGGTAATGTTAAGCAAAGTATTTCTTCGAAAAAAAAAAATTCAGCATAAGTTCCAGGAGAGTAGATAAAAGATAGTGCAAGTCAAACAAGGTTACAAAAGTGGCATAATATAAAACAGCTAGAAATAGAAAAATAGAACTCTAAACAAAGACTAAATATAGAAACAGATTTGCCGACAGGATGAAACAGGCAAGGTGTCTCTTTGGGATGCCCCCAGCATGTGTCCATTGCCTTCCACCATGCAGTGGCTGCACACACATGCACCAAGCTCCAGAGAAAGTGGTATCCTTTCATAGCACTTTCTCTAGAGTGTGGCAAGGAGTTCAGCCAGTGGATGACCTCCTTGCCGTTATTCTACGCGCAACTACGGGTGCTGCCATCATTGGCAGTTACGAACCAACATAACAGCCGGGAAAAAAACATATCAATTACATCTTACTTGCGTAGCAAAGGCTGATGCGAAAGTTGCCACAACCAATGTATAATTGTGCCTTAGACCCTTTTTTTTTCTGGTTAAAAAAAGAGTTGCACTTATATGTACATTTGGACCAAGTACCAAAAACACGGCAAAGAAAATAAGGATATGCCAAGAAACAATGACGAAGCGGCTAAAATTGAATCAAGACCCAGCCAATTTTTCTGCAGCTTTTCGGATAAAAGAACTTGACATGAACATGGATTGCGCAACGGTCCACTAGAAACCAACGACATTGCCAGAGAGCAAGGTGGTCACGACACCACTCTCGTGGATTTCACCAGACAATGAAATTAACATAAAAATGCCCAAAAGAAATTTGTATTGAGAATAGAAATTTGAGAAAGATCACTTTCAGGTATCTCAAGGTCCTCAATGTCACGAGGCTACAGGGGAAAAAATGCACCAGCAGTGTCATCCTGCTCATTCTAATCTCATCTCGAGAGAAAAAGAGGGATTTTTCTTATAGTAGTTCATGCACCGCATGAAATTGTTTTTTTTTAATAACAATTGAGTGACATAGAAAAAAAAAAAAAACTTACTTGCAATTGAAATGTGTGTGCTTTGATGAAATTAGAAGAAAACTCATCTCAAAAGCAGACCTAAAAATACTGACGCTATCAGGAAGGTTGGAGGCCATCCACCGGCTGACATGCTACCATTATGCATACTCCCTGGCAAGTTGCTTTCCTGCTAACTATTTTCCATCATCTTGGTGTTTTAGGTCTGTCGCTCTAATGCTCTACTTCAATAAAGCGGCAGCACTTTCTGAGACACCTCACCTGGTGTTGCAATCCACTAACGGGGACACCGACGGTTCGAGAATTAGGCACAATCTCCAAAATTGGGTGGCAAATTTCACCAGCTGGCAACACTGCCCATTTGTGGTCAGTATGCCATATGGTCCCGCATTCTTGCGTTGTCTCAGCAGCCTTTCAAGCCGCTGAGACAACGCCGGAAGGCTGAATGTCCGACGAACTTCGCACAGTTCCTCTTCGCTGCAACCCCTCTTTTTCTCAACTCTCATTTATGGTGAAAAAGTGCCATTCCAAACTTGCAACATGGGCAGTGAGCGGTGAGAGAATCGGGAATAAATCGACTACTAGTATTTGACCCCCCAAAAAAGACAGCTTCGAAAATGTTAATGCCATAGAGCACTTCAAAAGTGGGCATGGTTACCGTAATGCTAACAAGTTGCAAAGTGGTCTATTAAACTACTCCAAAATCATAAAAATACCATCAATGCCCATTTTTAGTAGTTTTCAGATTTCCAGTGAACTTGCACTAATAGTGTAACTGCATTTTTTTTCCTATAGACGTCAAAGGCATTGTCACTCTATCATATTGAAATGGTTGCTCGCATATGGTGCCTGGAGTGCGTCTCCGACTTTACCGTGCCCTCAAATGTGGTCCCTCAATTTCCAGCAAATAACGCGGTGTGCCATGTTGTTGCTCCAGATGGTGGCACCGGGGCAAGTCATTCTGCAGCTTGGCAGTACGCGAAAGCCATAGTCAGATCCGCCCCTACATTTTGCCCAAACGCGCCCAACAGCGTGGCACGTCGTTTCTTGCCACTTGGGGACCACCTTCGGGGCGGTGCAGTCGGAGACGCAGCCACCACGCCGACATTGCCTCTCTAAATCAAGTGGCTTTCACAGCTCCGTCCTGCGTGGTGCAGCGCCCCCCTTTGGCAGCTGGTCTGAGGCACAGCGGATCCCCACGTTGTAGGCGCTCGTGTCCGGCGTGTTCTGGCTCCGGGCGGCGCAACGGTACCGATAGCAGTAACTCTGCCAGAGAGAGACAGACACGACAAATGCTGCATTTTAGAGACCGTCTGCCAAATAAAAATGAATCTACGCGAGAAATAAACTGTAGTAAAGTGGTTAGTTGGGCGAGTTGGTAATGATTGAACATGGTTAAAATTGCGCACAAATAGAAAGGAACAGAGAAGTGGGGAGAGGAGAGTTTCGCTCTTCCCTCTTCTCTGTTCCTTTCTATTTGTGCGCAATTTTAAGCATGTTCTAAGCGAGAAATCGGGGCACCCGAGGGCATACTGTAGCCCGTTGCAACTCAAGCAGGTAGGATAAGGGCAAGACAGGCCGGGAGGAGGAAGCAGACAGAATGCTGGAGAGGGGGAAACCTCCTCCTCTTTCCAGCATTCCATCTGCTTCCTCCTCTCCGGCCTTCCTTTCTCTCGCCGTACCTTCTTGAGTTGCAACGGACTATAATGCACCACGCAATGGCCCAGTGTCCCCGAGCACATCGCATCCTGGTTGGATGCTGCCGGACTGGCAAACAACTACGTATAGACCACTTACAACGTAACCGTTTATAGTGCAGGACCGGGTATAACGCGGTTTTTTTAAACCACCGGTTCACCTCCCATAGAACTCCATGTAATTACATACCGCTTAAAATGCAGGCGCGCGAAGGGAAATACCGGTTATAGTGCGGTTTTTGGCACAGCCCGCCGACCGCGCCGACGACCGGAGCAGCGAGCTCGCTTCCCTGTGCGACACTAGATAACGGCGCGAGCCACAAGCCCACAAGCTGCACTCGCGGGGCAAGGAGGTTGCTAGAAAACGCGGGGAGAAGCGAAGAGAGAGGCTTCAGTTGCCATAGCGACGGAGGGACGCACGCACAAGTCGTTCACGTGCGTGCGTCCCTCCGCTGCGTTGGAAACAAAGAAACAAACAACCGCAACGACAGACCAATCGCAGGTCAAGAAGTGTTCGCGCGCGTTGCATGCCGGTCTGCCGGTCGCGAGCCGGCTGCTTCTATTCCGCAAACATGGCGTCGGTTGTGATCGTCGTCGTAGACGGCATGCTTCTCATCGTTCTGCGTAAAAGCGCTATCCTTGACGGTGAATTTTTGTTGTGTGTCGCTATGATAACCCAGCACGTACTAGAAGGGAAGGTTTACCTACTCGTGCGGCGATGTCGTGGCGGCGCTCTCAAGACGGCAGAAACGCCCGTGTCGTCGTGTTTGTTTACTTCGACTACAGTGGTGATTTCTAAGCATTTGTGTCCTCAAACATCGCCCGGATTTCTTATTTGGCGCATTTCATGCGTGTGCTAAAGTTCAAGGTATTACTGGCGCGTACCGTATAAAGGATGCGAATTTTCACGCGTTTTCATCTCCGGAGAAAAGTGATTAGGGTTAGCAATCCTGAACGCTCGCAACATCCGTCCACAACCCGAGACGCTGTTAAAAGGCTGCGCCAGGCAAATGCCGCTCATTTCTTTCAAAATGTGTGACACACTTGTGACAGAACTGTACTAGTCTGGTGAAATAAAGACTTTCCTCAAACTAAGCTTTATTTTTCATCTAACATAAAATAAATTCTTTTAGAAAGGTAAGTTGTCTCATGGCATGTATTTTGGCCTAAAAAATTGATGTTTTGGTTATAGTGCGGTACCGCTTATAGTGCGGATTTTCGCGATTCCCGAGACATACGTTATATGCGGTCTACACTTATATCAATTCGCTCTTACAACAGAGTTTGACGACACCCCTAATGGTCAAATACAAATTCTGGATGGCCAAACTGCAGGGAGGGCGGGGGGAAATGCTCGGAAACTTGAAATGAGTTGGTACTGGTTCAACATGATGAAACAGGTTTTGCGACAACTGGACCTTGTACTACTTCAAAGAATTTCCCACTGGTATGGATGTGTTATAGGTTACGTATTCTCTAGGCACTAACGCGCCTCGAAAAAAACGCTACTGCCAAAGAGATCCAGGCACTCTCATTAGAAATTCGTTGCTACGTTTTGTGCCAGTTACAACAACAAAAAACGTGCAAACAGAAACCTGTGGCCGTTACTTAGGCAAGTGCATCGGAGACGTCCCGCTGTACCCAGGGGGGGGAAGGTGCCGCCGCTTCCAATGCACCCTCCTCAGAATTTACGGCGCTCCGTGGGGGCCGCCATGTTAAAACTTGATACCAGTGTTGCTGTATCTTTAGGTCATCTTTAAGTTAGAGCTGACGGAGAAAATCTGGCCACGGCGCAACGCCGATGTACGCTGGAAGCTAGAACCGGTTTGCTTTCGTTGTTTTTGTTTGGTCGGAGAAAGTCTAGCAATAACGCACGTTCAACATGGCGCCGGTAATGCTTCGGTTTGACCACGTTTGACGCGGTTTGCGAGCACATGTAGCGAAGACGTGACCGGAGAAGTGCCCCTGTGATAGTCGCGGAAGACGGAAAGTATCATTCGTAATCATCGTGTGTGCTTTGAGAGCGAAGGGAGTCACAGGGTCCACGAGTGCGCAACCACAAGCCAAGGTTCACGACAGCGCTCCGTTGACTTCGGCAATCTCGTTCTGTTTGGTGCATAGAGATAGGTTTGGTGCAACACGGCAATGCGACAAAGAGTTGAAACGTTCGTGGTGTGTGGTGCGGTGCTTGGAGGTAGAAGCCCATACTAACACGAAGCGCAAATTGGTTATTGTGGGGTTGAAATTCAACGGGCTCAGTCTCGTCGTCGTCAGCTGATCCGGTCCAGCTGATCCGGTCCAGCTGATCCGGTCCAGCTGGTCCGGGAGGACGCAGCGAGCGCTTTTAAAAGTAAATCTTCCTTCGTTCCGTTTCAAAATGTGGAAGATTCTCGACGCATACCGTGAGTAAAAAGCTGCGGGCGTTTTTAACAAAATTACGTTGTTTTAATTGAACAATGGACTCCGGATTCTTGTCCTAGACCTGCCGTTTTTATGCTTCGTGTTGGCGTTTGCACAGCGACGCACACCGCCCGAGTAGATGATTCGGTCAACGAGTAGCACAACAGACCAGTAATCGGAGCGGCGAAATCGCGACACCCGGCGCTATTTTTCCCGAGCGCCGATAGCGAGAGTGCCAGTCACGTTGCATTTTTCAATGTGGGGGTGGCCGGCGAAAAATTGAGGGATAGGATAGTTGTTAAAATGGCGGGCTTTAGGATCCCCGCGTTGAGGCATAAAACGTGACTGTCACTCTCGCTATTGGCACGCTCAAGAACAATAGCCCCGCGTGTCGTGATTTTGCCATTCCGGTCGTCGGTCACTTGTGCTACCCTTTTTCCGTTGCAGCAATGCTTCTGCCGCTTCCATGCCAGGAGAGTAACGCGCTGAAGCACGGCGATCCAAAGCAAAACTGGTGCAAAACACGGAGAACCGAAAGAGCGAAGAACCATGGGAAAACCGGAAAAACCACGTGCGCACTTCGGATGGATAGCGGTTATACCCTTTGGAACAGACAGTAGCTAGCGCCACCTGCCGAATTCGTCCGAATCAACCATAGTGCGCCGCGTTCCCTCCGAATTAATGAGCGTTTGCTGCTATTGACTAATACATACGTTTGACGGGACCGGATCGGCAGTTCAAATTATCCGAATTTCCGAATTAGCGGGGGTTGAATTAATGAGGTTTTACTGTATATGCACTCATGATGGACAACCAACTAGCCCGCCAGATCACCTTAATGGGTTAAGTGGTCCTCGGTGTAGTCGTTGAGGAAGGCCCCTCGAGGTCGGAGGGACGGAGAAGCCCAACAGCTCGCTTGTGGGGACGCAAAGTAAAACCTCCTTATTATTATCGCTGAAGTCCTTAGGTTTGCATACAGAATGTCCGAGGCTCAAAGTCTCTTTCGGAACAACAGCAGAAGGAAATCAGACCCAAGGTGAAAACATTTGTACAAAACAAGGCGTTATCATTTAAAATAAATTGAGGTACGTACATGACAATCTACTTGGGTTGCCACGGTACTGTAACCCACAAAAGTGTCAAAGATTTTGTCTCAATCGTGTAGCGGTTCCATAGTGTGCTCGCGTAAAAGCCATTCCGGCTCATAATGCAGAGCTTGCAGCTTGCGCCTACCTGGTGGCACATGAAGGACCCTCCCTTCTTCACCTTGTCTGTGCCGGTCTCGGGGCCTTTCTGGAGAGAGCAAACGAGAAGGCATCCATCTAAACACATTTTTGCAACATCAGTCTCCCTTAGAAACCTTGTGCATCGAGATCAACCCTCAAACCAGCCATGGCAAGAAGGAGTCAAAACCATGTGCAGTGAACCTTTACCTATCATTAGGAGGTACCTCATTAACCAACCGCATGCTAGTATTTTTTTTATAAAGCATATTACAAAGCTTTATTTTAAAACAACAATTTGCACAAAAAAAAAGTCACTCGGCCTTCAGGTGTTGTTTGTTGCCAGCCCTCACTATTAATTACTGGCCATCTGATGTGTCCACTCAATAATTTGCTGCATGATACTGTTAGAAGCATTGAGGAAGGTGCTGAGCAACAGACAACATCTGGAGGCCACGCAAATGCGTCTTTTCATTTTCAGGCAAATGAGTGATTTTAAACAGTTTCGGGGCTATCAGAGAATGGGCACGACTCGTCGTCATAAATAATAGAGCCTTCGCCGCTTTAAAATAAAAGTTTCCGTATTTCTTGGTTGGCTAAAGCGGACCCCCGCACTGAGTCCATTTAGACTTTCCCCACACTTACAGCGGCGGTCTGATACGACTGCGCTGCCTTGGATGTACCTTGGGGAGCACAAGAAAAAAACAATGTTTTAATTGAGATTCACCTAAGTCGATGCAGGTGCAATTTATATCCAGCCAAGGCCTGCGAGGACTTGGCCACAACACGAACAGTGTCCCTGAAGAGGCCCCAAACAGCTGTTGCGAGCTGCGCTACAACTACGGCTGATCATGGCAAACCTTTGCTTGCCAAACCAAATGGTTCTTAGCGGTCTGCTAAGAAACAACATCGATTTTGACAGCCTCCCTGATTTTTACAAGAAGGAAAGAAACCGAGAAAGCTGTCTGGTGCGTCACAAAACAGAACAAAAGCCGTGTTGAAACAGAGTAAAGTAATGAATGGACTAAATATGTATGACATTAACACACAAGGTGTTTCTTTTTAGCTTAACAGATTTGTCTATAAAAAGGCCCCGAAATCTACACTAATGTGGTTTGTGCAGGGCGAGTTATACGGCCAAGGTAGGTAGTATGTAATCGTGACGATCAGTTGGCTAATCGTCTAAATTATGTTAATTGATGTTCTAGTTAGGAACTTGTTCATTTAGAACCACTAAGTCAGTCACTACTAGAAAGACACCTGGTAAACACGGTGGAGCATTACCACTTGCGCAGCAGGAGCAAGGCTGCGATAATGCATGGTTTTTCAGCCACTTACAATAGCCTCTTGTCCAAGTGGCAACTTTAGTGCACTGCTGCACTTCCCACATGCTGTCATTTCCCATTCTTTTTCACAGCTTTAATAACAGATTTTGAGGTGATGTAGTAAAATTCCCGATATACTAGTAAAATTACTGCCTGGTCCCAGCAGGTTTACTACAAAGGGGTTCTACTGTATTCACATAAATTTGTGTTTCATTCTAATTTCTGCCTCCCAGCTTTTTGTGACCTCTGCTGCACGAACCTTACTTAGCAACCACAGATGCCAAAAATAAAGTTACGAGCTCGGAGTTGTCACTTTGAGAAAACATCACCATTAAAATACAAGTATTTCATCAGACCACCGCTATAAAAATCATCGGGAAAGCAAGAAGTGTGGTATGTATGTTGAGTTGGACGAATTCCCGAGTGAACTAGGCAATGGGAGCTGCAGTGTGCTGGCTCTCTTGTTCTATAGACCTTTTCTGCAAGTGCGCCGCCATCTTGAATTGACGTCACTTCCAGTATGGGCGAAAACATTGTTTTGCCTTTGCCACACCAATAGAAGGCATTTAGTATATAAGTGTAACCGTCACACTTTCTCGTTTGGCCTCCCCTTTATTTTTTTACTATTTGCAGGTTGAAACGTTTTAGTATTTTTTCGTCGCCCATACCGGATGCGCCTATAAGGTGGCTGGGGACGAGAGTACACGGAAAAGGTCTATAACAAAAGCCAGCATGTTGGCGAGGCGGTGTAACTTTTATTTGTTATCACATCAGGTAAGGTCCTAAAGTAGTTTTATAAACAAATCAAAGCTTGTCACAAGCAGAGACGTATATGAAACCTCTCAAGGATGGGGCCCTCACACTCGTATTGTCACGAATGACAGGCAGAGAGACGGTTAGTGCTGTAGTCAACTAAATGTTTAATAGTGGTAAACTTGTGCCCAAAACAAAAATACAAAGAGGTAATGTCGCAGGCGTCGAAGGTTGGCGGACTAGCACGGTGGAACGCAAGAGCGAGAGTGCCCCCGGACCGCCACGCCACGACCTTTTGTACCTGCGTGGGTTTCTGGAATATTCGGTGTAGAATGTTTGGCGTGTAGAACATTCAAACCCCAATCAGACGACAAGGTTCTCAACCTTACGAGAATGCTAAATTGAAAGAAGAAATAAAAGGATTGTCCGCTTCCAGGAACCGAACCTGGGGCTTCCGCACAAAAGCCAAGCGCGGTAGCCATTCAGCCACGCACGCGCTCGCTTGGCGATGCGCGTGGCAATATGAGACGCCTGGACTAGGGCAAGCCATGTGCTTGCAGTCCTTTCACCTTTGCCTCGGTTAGATCACAAAATTCTGCTTGCAGATTAAAGGTGCTGGCAGGTAAAATGAATCACACCTATGAGGTGCAGGAAGCGTGCACATTGTTAGCAGCAGGAAAGATGAAAGAAGCGATTCATGTAGGCCTCTCGATGTTACCCTATCGGTTTGTTTCCGTGGCCGAGCCGGCACAACGTGTCCCCCTTTCGTCTGGTCGGAGGTAGGGTGTTGAGAGTTTGAATCCACTTCCAAACTATTGTGCGTTCATTTTTATTTTTTTGTTTCAATCAGATGCCTGGAGTACAATTTTAAACACTATGGCATCTCGAAACAAATTCTCAACTTATCCTTTGTGCCTGCCTGCCCCCTCAATGCCTGTTGTCCGCTACTGCTACGGCCTTCCTCCCTGGGACCTGCACACTAAATCTAATATTAACAAATTAGAAAGAATTCAGAAGAAACCGCTAAGATAATAAACATGGCAGAAACACCTCAATTTCGGAACTTTATGCTCAGGCCAGCATTCCCTTTTACAAAGAAAGATTAATCAACTCAAGTTCATTTTTAATCTAATAAATGGGTACTAAGATTACTTTCACTTCAACACGTCTAGGATCACAAATATTAAACACGATAAATCAATCGCTCATATAATGTGCAAGACCAACTGTTACAAATACTCTTGTATTCCTGCTACTAACAATAGCATTTAAATTATATTATTGTACATAAACATGTTAAAAAAAAAGCAAACCAATAAAAAAAAATATTGTACTAGGTAATCTCGATCATCCCGCTAAACTCGGAGCACAGAAAGCGTCATGCGTGCATTGTTTATGCACTACTATCTATTATGCTAAATTGCAGGGAGCTTTTGAGCGATTTGATATGCGATTCAAACCAAAATCATCTATACTTAAAGGGGCCTTGCAACAACTTTTTGACTGGTTTTTAATTTGCACCGATCCTGAGCGCACTGAATGTAGTAACTTAATGAACCTTTTCTTTTCTCAAATTTCGCTTTATTTCAAAAGTTATAGGCAAATTAGAATTACAAAAACAAGCAAAAAAGAACCTCCTTCATAACGTCGTAGGTCCTGACTTGAGTGGCCGTGAACTAGAGGAGGAGTAGTAAGCTCATCGAGCGCTCACGGCTGCCGCACTCCGTGTCGACGGCTCGAGAGGGCGCCACTAAAGCATGTGTTGGATAGGCTGTATGAAGCGGGCAGCCAAGGCGGCTCGCATTGCATTTGCTGCACGATTAAAGACTAATGCGGCATAACGCTTCATTGGCCACAAACGACAGCAAACATGGGGTAAATATCAGTTCAGAACGGGAGCCACTTCGCGCTGCCATACCGCCAAATGGCAGAATCGCCAGCCAAGCCCGCGCCAAAAGCCTTCGGAACGTTCAGAACCGGTCGGATCCTCGAGCCGGTATACAACCGCAGCGCCGCCGCGTACATCCGGGACCTTTCTACGCTTGCCGTTCGTCGACGCCTCATCTCACTAGCCCTTTCTAGTATGCGTCGTTTTTTCTGCCACTTGGTGTCGGGTATGTCGACGGGTCATTTCTTGTTTCCGTACTTTATAAACTGCATTTGTTTCTTTTCTGATCGAAAATACTGAACAAAAACTACTTTCATACATAATTGAAACAGTTTGCGACACTTATATTTTGTATCTCGACTAAAAAAAAGCTTCTAGCGGCTCTGATCAGTAGTAAGCCGAGGACCAAAGACGTCACATATCGTGCGCTTTCGGCAACGCGGGTCGCCCTTGTAGGTGGAGGAGGTTTCCGCGTCGTCCGGTTAAAATATGACGCTCACTGATATTTAGTTCCTCTCTCCGTGCCCGCTGGCTTGCCCAAACCCAAAGAGACGTGGAAACCACAAAAAAGTTAGACGCTCAAATATGATTGCAGGGCCCCTTTAATTTATTCGGAAGTGGAGCGTGCAAGGAGCGTGCTTTGTTACGAAGTTTCCACGGCTGCTTCCGAGGGTACACGTAGCTCCTCGAGATCCCAGTGCTCGTAGATTGTGAGGATAGTGGTAACTGAAGTGGAGCACAAGGATGAGGAGGTTTATCGCAGCTGCTATCTAATGGCCACTCCACGAAGTTTCGACGTCCTGCGCCCCCTATTCGTTGGTTTGTTACGAACCACCATTCAGGAGTCAGCTGCGCGTCCCCAATTGCCCAGTATACCGTAGCCTTCTGCAAGTCACACTTAGTCCGTCCTCTCACTTTCGCCTCCTGCACGTGGCGCCGATCGATGGGCTGCGGTGCGCATGGTTCGGGGTTTGATTCCAACCGTCTCGTTACGGATAGTTATTACTAGTTATAATTACATACGGTTAAGTAACACGAACTTGGTATTCAATATACTTGCTACGGGCTGCGTATGTATTACTGAACTGCGTGCGGTGTTTTCTCGTTGCACTCGAGAGTAATGCTTTTCACGCCAAAACCGGGCCATAAACCCGTTAAAAAATGCATGGTCAGGAAGTGGATGCAAACTCCTAGCACCCCAGGTCAAAAGGTCTAGATCACTCGGTGACGAAAGCGTGCAACAGTGCACCAGGCCCAACGGGCCTCTGTCTTCCTTACGGGATTTGTCTGGAACTCTCTGGAGTGCTGCGTGGCCCACCAGTCGCTCGTCCACTCCCAGACATTGCCGATGATGTTCTTCAGGCCAAACTTGCTCGGCGGGAAGGCGGTCACCTGAAAGATCGAGAAATGACAAACTGTAGCGCTGGCATCTCCACAAGCAGCACAGTGCAGCTACAGTGCCTCGTGTCTCCGTCCGTTTACCGGACCCTCCAGTACCTCGGCCCGACGATGTCGTAAGAGCCGCTGCCTGCTGTGATCTTGGCGGTGGCCCAGCGACAGAAAAGCAAATGACAGGTTGGGAGTATAGGCTTCTTGGGCACATGTAATACTGGCTGCACCATCCACACAATACACAAAAGCGTCCTTTCGATCATGCACAAGCCATGTTCCAGCATCTGTCAACATCTGTCCATGCGTGCTAAACAAGCGCTAAAAAAATTTGAATTTTAAAAAAATTATGCAGTTTGCGGCCTTGGCGTTTTATCCAACATTCCTTTCGGTTTTATAATTTGTATCGCTTTCTGTCGTGGCCTCCGTGAGCAAGTATGTTTCACTTTACGCGACAGCAAAGCCAAAGCTACGAGCAAAGCCATGTTCCCCTAAAGAATGCTCGCACTGCACAAGCGTACGTGAAAGGACACTGAAAGCTCGGACCTCGCTCTTGTGGCCTCAGCTATGCCAGCACTGCTAATGAAATGAAGTATAGCAAACATTCTTAGGATTTTCAGGCCACTTTGAGGTATTTTGCTGGCCGTTTATTTCATCCGCTAAATTTAGCAGAGAAAATCACGTCCCATGACTCAATGTCACGTGACGTATGCACAACTTCTGTTTCCCCACTAGATTTAGCGGGAATATGGATGTCACATGACCTCAACACCAATCCAGTTTCCCCACCATATTTAGCGGAGAAAATGACGTCACACGACTTGATGTCGCATGACGTATGCACAACTTCTGTTTCCCCACTAGATTTAGCGGGAATATGGATGTCACGTGACCTCAACACCAATCCAGTTTCCCCACCAAATTTAGCGGAGAAAATGACGTCACACGATTTGATGTCACGTGACGTACGCACAACTTCTGTTTCCCCACTAGATTTAGCGGGAATATGGATGTCAAGTGACCTCAACACCAATCCAGTTTCCCCACCAAATTTAGCGGAGAAAATGACGTCACACGACTTGATGTCACGTGACGTATGCACAACTTCTGTTTCCCCACTAGATTTAGCGGGAATATGGATGTCACATGACCTCAACACCAATCCAGTTTCCCCACCAAATTTAGCGGAGAAAATGACGTCACACGACTTGATGTCACGTGACGTATGCACAACTTCTGTTTCCCCACTAGATTTAGCGGGAATATGGATGTCACGTGACCTCAACACCAATCCAGTTTCCCCACCAAATTTAGCGGAGAAAATGACGTCACACGACTTGATGTCACGTGACGTATGCACAACTTCTGTTTCCCCACTAGATTTAGCGGGAATATGGATGTCACATGACCTCAACACCAATCCAGTTTCCCCACCAAATTTAGCGGAGAAAATGACGTCACACGACTTGATGTCACGTGACGTATGCACAACTTCTGTTTCCGCACTAGATTTAGCGGGAATATGGATGTCACGTGACCTCAACACCAATCCAGTTTCCCCGCCAAATTTTGCGGAGAAAATGACGTCACACGACTTGATGTCACGTGACGTATGCACAACTTCTGTTTCCCCACTAGATTTAGCGGGAATATGGATGTCACGTGACCTCAACACCAATCCAGTTTCCCCACCAAATTTAGCGGAGAAAATGACGTCACACGACTTGATGTCACGTGACGTATGCACAACTTCTGTTTCCCCACTAGATTTAGCGGGAATATGGATGTCACATGACCTCAACACCAATCCAGTTTCCCCACCAAATTTAGCGGAGAAAATGACGTCACACGACTTGATGTCACGTGACGTATGCACAACTTCTGTTTCCCCACTAGATTTAGAGGGAATATTGATGTCACATGACCTCAACACCAATCCAGTTTCCCCACCAAATTTAGCGGAGAAAATGACGTCACACGACTTGATGTCACGTGACGTATGCACAACTTCTGTTTCCCCACTAGATTTAGCGGGAATATGGATGTCACGTGACCTCAACACCAATCCAGTTTCCCCACCAAATTTAGCGGAGAAAATGACGTCACACGATTTGATGTCACGTGACGTATGCACAACTTCTGTTTCCCCACTAGATTTAGCGGGAATATGGATGTCAAGTGACCTCAACACCAATCCAGTTTCCCCACCAAATTTAGCGGAGAAAATGACGTCACACGATTTGATGTCACGTGACGTATGCACAACTTCTGTTTCCCCACTAGATTTAGCGGGAATATGGATGTCACGTGACCTCAACACCAATCCAGTTTCCCAACCAAATTTAGCGGAGAAAATGACGTCACACGACTTGATGTCACGTGACGTATGCACAACTTCTGCTTCCCCACTAGATTTAGCGGGAATATGGATGTCACGTGACCTCAACACCAATCCAGTTTCCCCACCAAATTTAGCGGAGAAAATGACGTCACATGACTTGATGTAACGTGACGTATGCACAACTTCAGTTTCCCCCCTAGATTTAGCGGGAATGTGGATGTCACATGACCTCAACACCAATCCAGTTTCCCCACCAAATTTAGCGGAGAAAATGATGTCACATGACGATGTCCCGTGACCTATACACAAATTCAGTTTACCCGCTAGATTTAGCGGAAATATTGGCGTCACTCAGTGTTAGGTAAAGCACATCTATAAAGTACCTGAGGACGAGGTACAAAATAAATAAAGAGGCTATGTACTTAAAGTAAGGTAGCAAGTACACTGGGAACAATGTAATTGAAGTAAAGTACTATGAATACAACATACTTTCAAAGAAAAGTACAAGCACTTTTGAACACAATCTTTCCAACTGCCCTCCCATTCCTCCATACGGTGTTTTAGAGCGCAGCTCTTAGGCGCCCATTTCTGGCTTGAGTGGCGTCGGTGATGGTGACGCCGATGTAACGTCGGCGTTACTGCGCGGTGCACCATGGGTAAATTTCCCCGCTTAATCTAGCGAAAAAATTTCCCCTCTAGATCTAGCGGAAAAATTTCCCCACTAAATCTAGCGAAAAATTTTCCCCGCTAAATCTAGTGGAAAAATTTCGCCGCTAAATCTAGCAGAAAAATTTCCCCACAAAATCTAGCAAAAAAATTTCTCTGGGGGGTCACGTGACCCCCCCCCCCCCCCCAAAGGTCACGTGACTCCCCGAGGTCAGGGCCCCCCCCCCCCTCAGTACACTTCCCTCCTCCTCCTCAAGAGCTGCGTTCTAATTCGGTGTTACAGGGAGTTGTAAACGGCTTCCACTTTTTTAAACTAATATGCATTGGCAAAGGGGTAAGGGGGGTGGATCAGTTATTTTAGCAAATGGCAAATTCTGGATAAAGTAAAGTGACCACAGAGTAGTTGTTTTTCTCTCGCTTACGAACTATTTAACACAATCAACTTACAGGGCACAGATTTAAATCGGTCTTATAGCCACCATTACTTCACTCAGAAAAATAACCGGACCACATCTCAAAAGATGATACTGGTGTGCTTTTACACGACGTACGCCATTTTTTGTTTTTGTTTTTGTGAAAGGTTGGTGATCTCTTCTACACCTCACGGCCTCACATCAGCAATGCTGTTTCCGTTGTGGCAAAGGAGGCCATTTAGCTCGCAGCTGTAATGTTGGGATGAACAACGGAAAGGGAAACAGCTTCAACCAACGCTGGAATCAACAGCGTTTGGAAAACTGACTGGTGCCTCAACTTGGGGCCCTGCGATGGCACCCATCAAAGACATTAGGGCTCAGCGAGCAACACCACTTGTCACGGAACAACAGCGGGAATTTTATGAAACTTCTTTATTGATTCTGGATTGACCGTGACTATTATTAGCTTCGACAATCATACCCAAAATCGTGCCACAACAGCATGGTATTAATGCCTTAAATGGTTTGATTGAACGTGAAAGGCATTTGCTACCCGTAAATCGAGGTTATACACTGTACACCCAGCATTAGTGATTCGGGGTACAACACGGGTACTTGTCACTGCAGGGTTCGTACAGGATCTAAAGAAAGATATTCAAGGATATTCAAGGAATTTCAAGGCCCTGTGGGAGTATTTTCAAGGACCTAACTCGGTGCCACACATGACAGATTTCAATAAAGCACTTTTGTCAAAAGATCGTAGGTATCATTTTTATTGCACTAAACAAAAAGAAAAAAATATTTCTTGCAAACTTGTTTGCATTGCACTAAGCCAAAATAAAAATTGTTTCTAAAACCACTTGTGCTAACTTCAGGGGAGCTCCTGCAGCTTTTTCTGTATTTGTTGGCTGATGCTAAGCAGCTCCTTGGCCTTGCTTTTTGCAGTTTTCCTAAGACTATTTGATTTTACAATGTATGTGAGGTCATTTGCTTTTTCAGCTTTTTCTGCGTAGGCATCTGCTGAGGCTGTGAGATCAGCTATAGTTGCTTCAAGTTTCCTCTTTTTTGCTTTCATGGTGTCTATCTCTTCATCAATGCAGCGCTTCTTTGCCTGCTTCGCATCTTCACGCTGCTTTTTTTCTGCTTCCAAATATGCACTGTACTGCTGTCTCGCAGCTGACACAGCAGTACTCAGTTCTTTCGTAAGTGGGATGTTGAGGACACCACCTGCCTTTTCCACTGCATCGCACACAATCCATTGAGAGACGTAGGAAAGGTCCTTCAGATTCTCTACCGAAACCTGGTGGTTTACACTAAACCCTCGCTCCACAGTTGCCTGTCCATGGCTTAGGACAAGCAAGAGCTTAACTACATTACAGAGCTCTGTATACGATGGATTAAACTTCATAAGCTCAGAGAAATACTCATCTATCCTGTTCATGCTCTTTTCAAAGAGTCGCTGGTGATGTTTCTGTTCCTGCAAGAACTCGGTGTACTGTGCCAGTACCGTGTCTCGTTGGTGATCAGTCATTCTCCCTGCGGTGATGAGGACGTCCAACACTTTTCTAAAACCAGGAAGCCACTCATCTGGCCTTGAACACATCTGTCGTGGGTCCAATGAGGAGAGGCCCCTAACCACTGGGAATTTCAAGGGGCTTCTCTCTAGGACTTTCTTTGTCACGGCGATCAGGAACTGTTTACATTCCATCCGGAACTGAAACACGTCCTTCAAACTGGCTTTGACTTTCTTGACAATCTGCTCAGCTGTATGGCCTATATCCACCTTTTCAATTGGAGTATGATTGTCCGGGTTCTCAATGTCCACCCTCAGGAGGCCGGTGAGTCCTTTTGATGCAGACAAGACTGAGCACTTCAGAAAGCTTGTCAGCAGTTTCCGGAAAACAGTTTCCAAATCTCTTGCAAGGAAGAAGGCCGTCGGTCTATCTGTTTGATACTCCATTAGGAATGGCTTGAGTGCCATGGCAACACCCAGTGCAAAGTTAAGCTTTGCCGGCACCAAAGAGTCGCTGCAGAACTCAACCAAGTTCTGAAAAGATCCACATTTTGGCAGGTTTACTTCTTTGCTTCTTGCAGCCTCAACAAACTTTTTGATGTCGCACCACAACGACAAGGCTCTCTCAATTACGGCGACGTTCTCTACCGAGCGGTGAGGAACAAACTTTAGGGGAGATGTTTCCTGCCCAGTGACTGTTGTAAAGTCTTCCCTCCTTGCTGGAGAGCTCTCAAACAGTGCGCTCAGACTAGACAGTAAGCAATGTAGTCCCCACCTACTTGCTGCAATGCCTGCCCTGTAGGCATTGTGCATTGTGTGGAGGCCACAGGTGCCAATGTCCACACACAGAACTTGGTACGCTTCTTGCAGGTGCACTTGGAAGTTCTTAAAGAACTTCAAGTTGACATTGGGACCATCCATCGATATCTGAAGGATCTTCTCAAGAGGCAAAGGTTCGAGTGCGCTCAACAGCTTTCCTTGTACGTCCTCGGCCGTGGAGTGCCCCATAAACACCGAGTTGTAGTACCTTGTTGTCACCTTGTGAGACGAGTCCCAACACCTTACGTGCACATCCATTTGTTTGCGATGCAAATAGTCGTTTGAAGACTCGTCAAAAAGCACCACGTAGTGCTCACACTGGTCGATTTCCCGCTGCAAGGCCGTTAGAAAAAAAGGTCTCAGTCCATGGCACGTCACATAGGCGCATTTCTTTTCTCCTCAAGAAAATGCTTTTGCCACCTCACTGTCAGGGAACATGTGCTGGAACAACTTGCCCGATTGTGACGATGAGCGGTAGGAACAGTGGGATGTGACGACCTTCAGAGTCCACAACACTTCGGCGTTTGTCACCAACTCGTGCGTCTTGCAAGCAGCGTTTATGTTTGGCAACTGCGGTGGAGGAGGGACAGTGGATCGTTCACTCGTGCCCGGAGCCAGGTAATTGTGCACCGAGCTGTTGGCTGCGATCTTCATGATGCCGGCATGTTTAGCGCTCTTCATATGGCTCTTCAATGCCAATTCGCCCATGGCGGCGACATCGAAAGTTTTTCCGCACGGCTTGCACATTGCACAATGCTGATTTGTCGTATCTGGTGCCACCCAGTCCTTATATTCATCACTGCAGAGCCACGCACCTTGAAACATGCTTTTGCCGGGCATTTTGCTACGACCAACGACAAAACATGAGGCCAATGGCGGAAACAGTGCCCGGATGAGATTGGATTTGGGTCTGCTCCAATGTGGCCAACCATCCAATGAATATCAGCTAAGTCTAAACAAATAGAGATAACTTAGACCAAAACGAAACAAAAACGATAAGCATAATAAAAATAAACAATACATACCCGAATTTGTTTTTTTAAATAGCCATTCACAGATTTTCAAGGCCTAGCCAAAAAAATCAAGGGCTTCCAAGGGCCCTGCAAACCAAATTTTCAAATTCAAGGGTTTTCAAGGTCTAGCAAAAAATCCAGGATTTTCAAGGGCCTTCAAAACCCAATTTTTAAATTCAAGGGTTCTCAAGGGTATCCAGGACCTGTGCGCACCCTGCACTGACTTCCGCATGAAATACCAACTGTGCCTCGAATTGGCAGACTTGTTTTCGCGAGCAAAGAAAGCATGCGCAGAAACTGCCGGCGTCAAGATGGAAGCGCCGAGAATTCTTCTTGCTGCAACCTTGCTGCTTTCGCCGAACGGTAGAGTCTTGGTCGATGGCCGTGTTAACTATATCGGAGCATCCTTAGACTTGGAACCTCATCCAGACAGCAAAAAGAGCGACATCACTCTGGAGCATTGTTGAGGCTTTCAGAGGAAGGAAGCTTCTGGGGGCAACGCCACCAGAGGTGAAGCAGGGGGACAGTTCAGAGGGACCCAAAAAATTACCAAAAGATGCCATTAGGAAAAGGGAGGATAGACAAGTGCTACTTTCAACTGACCTTCTGATGATAAGATAAAGGAAGAAAAGGACAAAGGTACATTTATATAAAAAGGAATAGAAAAAGAAAAAAACGAAAAGGATTTAGAAGGAGGACTTAAATAATAAAAAAGTTAATAAAAAAAAAAAACATTTAAGTAAAAATTATTTAAAAATTGAAAACAAAAGATTGAGAACAAAGGCTTGAGGTACACCTAAGCACTTCTTATGAGTTGTGAATGCGAAAGCAAGCACGGCGTTCTTCGCTCCCTTCTTTAATCTGCAGCGTACAACACGCTGACCTTGGGCGTGGAACAGTGGAGCCGCTGCCTCGCGGACACGCAGCGCCATCGGCTGAACAATCGTTCAAACTGCCATGTGCCTTGCAGCGCGAGGAAGGAACAGACAGCAATGTAGTTCCCAGCAGAACAAACCCCTTGGTTTATTCCATGCAAGAGGCCAGCGAACTCGGTGATCAGTGATAACACAACAGTGTGATAACACAGTCAGGATGACACCACATAAACTGACGCACAGCGGCCAATGGCAGCCTCATCAATGCGCGCCAGCCAATGAGATTGAAGTTTAAAAGGTGCCGTTGGCTAGTTTTGCGCGTCGTTTCAGTAAGGTGCCGGTTTGCATGGTTTCAAACCTGATGACGTCGGCTCGCTCCACGAGACCAGTTAATGCTTCGCATTAAAAGAGTTTAGGAAATAAGGAGGTATCGCAGTTCCTTGGGTGACAAGTTCACCGATGGTGCGCTTATGCAGGATTCGCTTCCTGCTGCGATGGCCTCATTGATTTCTCTCGTCGTTTTCTCGTGGAACTGCCCCAGAATCCCTGCGCTAGAGAACAAAGGGCAGACCCACAGTCCGTCACATGTAAAGCTAGATGACCTGACGGGGAGGATTTAAAAAAAAGTTCATGGTCCCCGAGCCTGATGTTGACGCATCGTCCGGTCTGGCGCACATAAGCCTTTCTACGTGAGAATGGTCTTTCATACAGAACTCTGCAGTCACAGTCTATGTACCTGTGGGCATGTCTCATGCTGCATTTGTCCACCTTGTTGCACAGCGAGTTTATTTTGGGCAGAGCCCGGTTAGCCTGTCTGGAGCAGATAGCACCCATGCATTAAGCAACATCTGATAGGATGGACGTAGGGAAGCTGGAAGCTTTGAGCCGTAATACTTGCGCATCAAAGCCCTCCGCTGCTGAATGAGAATGGAACTTGTTTAGGGCCACGCTAGAACAACTGGAAACAATTCCCCTTTTTGCAGGTTTTGTGTAAGCTGAATTGTACTGGAGTAGTGTCTTTTGCGACCTCGGCAAGTACATGCAGGATAGACGGTTACTTTTGAAGGTGAGTTGAAGGTCTCAAAATTGGAGGGTGCTGTTGGTTGGAGCCTCGTGCCTGAACTTAAGCCCTTCATCTTTGTCTGTGAATATGTTTTTAATGGTGTTTATGACAGTAGCGTGGTTTGCTTGAGATGTTTCAGTCAATAGTAGCAGGTAATTGTCAACATATCTAAATATATGTGAGACGTGGAGGGATGACAGTTCGTGCAAGTTCGCCCAAGGATAGTTTCGCAATAGGCGACGCAGACAGGTAACGTGCTAGACGTGCCAACTGCTTCCAGTGCCACCACGGGCTTTCATTCCATTGCAGCCGCTACAAGAGACTAGCCAGTCTTTCTAGGGACCATATCTAGATTGAAAAGTTTTACAGCCTTTGGTCTGATACAAATTGCTGGAAACTAAATTTAGGTAGGTCTTGCTTCCGATTATTTTGTAGCAGTCTTGTAACTTCTCAAGCTTCTCAAATCTGGAAAATGGGAAGATAAAAAATGCCTTCTCTCTGGCCACAGGACATTTGGGATGTACCTCTCCAGACTCAAGCTCGATGCCTTCAGTCTGCCTCAGCTCAGTTTTCGCACCATCCCGAACTGAATAGGCGTACGACTCCAATTCTGCCTTTCCTGCTAGATGTAGCAGGAGGTGATACTGAATCGGTGTATTCAGGTTTTCCCGCCAACTTTAGCTGCGACGGATGACCCAACACAATTTCAAGTTTTAATAACGGCTAATTGAGGAAAAAGAAATGTGGGGCAAGTAGCAATAGTCATGCTAGCCTGAGAAATGACCTATGCAACAGTCATCTGCACCGCCAAATTATAATAAAAAGACAAGAGATGGCTTATCTAATGCCGGTGTTAAAGTTTTTGCCTTTGCTAGAAGAAAAAGTTTGGTGGTCCTGCCCCACACCAGCACAGGAAGGTGCGCTCACTTGGGTCAACTGCTCCCAACAACCAAACGGGTAAGGGGAGTGCAGCAAAAAAGCGGCCCCAAGGAAGGGGGTCACTCGCACATCTCGTTGTAGCACGTTTCACTCGTTGGCCAGCGGAAAGGAACGCCGAAAGGCTGCCAAAGTAAGTTGTGCACAACTGCCAGAGGAACCCAGGTCTTCCGGGTGAAAGAAGCAGGGAAGATGTCTGCAGCCTCCTCTCCAACACATCCCTCGGACCGTGTCGGGAAGCACTCACCGGAGCGGTCCCGGGGAATCCGTCCTCTGCCGTGTTGACGCCGGGGAACTGGCCCTCCCAGATGTTGGCCCTGGCCTCCCCGCCAGGGGCCCACTTGTTGCCCCATGGGAACAGCCTGGAAAGAGCACACAGTCTCTCGTAAATGGAGGGAAGCCGCCTTTCCTACAAGAAGCAACAACCAAATCAAACCTCAGAACGAGCACCTTCCTAAAATATGACACCTCCATACCAGGATGGAATCCTTCATTGAAACCATTAAGGAACGAAATGCCTCACGAGACAACTGAATAGTGAATGCAAAAGCTTTCCGACGGCCGTAAAAGAGGAAGCCACCGCTACGACGAGCAGACGACGTCGCGCTTAAGTACCCTCCAACGAGGTCTCGACACTGCGACCCAATTGCGCCACGAGCGAACCGGCTCGCTCGATCTGCAAGGACACGATAAATAGAAGAGCCCGTCTCCCTCGCCGCCTGCAAGTCGGAAGTTGTCGAGAGGCTTTCAAAAAACCCCTCCCCCAATTTGTCCGTAGCAAAAGGAAAGCACTCACCTTGGCCAACTATGAAAATTGGGGCACCCATTAGAAACTGATAAATCGGCAACCTTTAGGTAAGTAATTAATTGGTCAAAAGTGCCGATATATTTGCAAAAACCTAAAAAATTATATAGACAAAATTATATGCGTGGACAATGCACTTGGGAGGAAAAATAGAGTAAAAGACACACGATAAGCAACACACGGGCACAGCGTGTCGACTGTCATTCTTTTTTACTCTAATATAATTATAAAAAAGCAGAAACCAAAAACGAAGCAAGACATGCATTCGTCGAGGCATTCCATACCGCACCCTCAAACAAACGAAGCCATAGAGGCCAAAAGATTCATAGTATTGTGAGAATATTCGAAAGTTTAAATACCGTATTTACTTGGACATAAGTCGACCACAAATATAGGTCGATGCCTTTATTTTAAACTCGCCGAGAGTAAAAAAAAAATGCAACTTTAGTTCAACCTTTTTTTTCTTTTCTTTTTAAAGAACATAGGAAAGTTTGGGCAAAACAAATAAACCTTTGTTTACGGCGCTCTCAACTAAATCACACCGCGATGCCAAAATCTTAATCATCGTCAGAACTTCCCAAGATGTCATCGTCGTTGGTATTTTCGTGAATATCCTCCCGAATTCTCAAGAGTACCTCAGTGACCCCGTTGCAAAATGGCGACAAGAAACAAAAGAAGGTGGAGATGGGACAAGCGACGCAAGACCAAAAACAAAGGCGCGAGCGACACCACGAGCCACCACGAGCAACAAGAGGCGAAAGTAAGCTCCGTATCTTGTTTTGTTGCGCATTTGCCAGAGGGAGGGGGGTGGAGGAGAAAGGTACGTGGTCAACACCTCCTAGAATGCAAAGCCGCTCGGAGAGATGACGTCAAACTACGTCAGAGCTGGGAACTCTGGAGACGTCGGCTTCAATGCAAGGCACCACCCCTTTCCCCCACAGAGTCACGCAGTGGCACCATGCAGCGACTTGTCGGCACCAACAAGGGAGGCGTTCAACACCCACTAAGACGCAGCGCACATTTTTTTATTTTTTTAGTACCATACTTTTTGCTGTATAAATTGCAGATTTTTTCCCAAACATTTTTCTTGGTGCGTTTCATACAACGATGAGACTTACTCGCGTTTTTTTAATCCACTGTGAGACGTCATTTCTGTATGTGTTATCTTTTATACAGCCCCGTACAGGCACTGCTGTCGCCACACTCTGCTACACTTTTCATAACTGAATCAGAAAGCGGAAAATTTTGCAGTTTCCTTGAAGCGGCTCAATGAGGGTAGGCAAGACAGTTACAGTAAAGCTTTTACAGCATGCGATCGACGTTGACTAATTCAGCCATGGTTCCATATTCTTTTGCTTCAGTCCAGTAACACCGAAAGGCAAGTGGGCTGGTATACACGCATTACAGAAAATTTGCTTAGTTTCCGTCTGATGAGCACCTTTTATCCGGAAGCATGCGGTTTAGAGAAGCCCGTTTTAGCAAACGCCGTTTTCCCGACCCCCAGTTTATCGAATACCTTTATAAAAAAAAAACAGTTCAGAGAAAATGGTGATGAGCCTCCTTTAAGCAAAAAAAAGCATGCAGCGTGTACAGGTGGTTCAGGTGAGTTAACATTTTTGTAATGAGCTACCGCAGACTGCCGCCGCGAAGCATCATAAGCGTGGAGGGGCGCGCGAGTTAACATGCGCTCCAGTGGTACACGTGCGAAGCAGGGAAGCCTTTTTAAAGCGGCGTTCTTTTTTGATAAATGGAGTTTCTTTAAATTGAGGCTCTGCTTTCTCGAAACCGAGCTTCGATATACGTGCCTGTTCTCTAAAACACTTTTCGATGAAATTGCATTCGATCAACCGTAGTAATCTCGTTTTTATCTGGCATGCTCCAGCAGTGTTGCTACAGGTAAAAGGAAGGGTTGCGGCTAGGCAATCTTCTTGCAGTACTGAAAGAAGCGTGTCAAGATTTATTTATCTGTCTGCACGTTGATGCTCGTATTGTCTCTGCAACTTGACCTAAGCTAGGCCTAGTGGTCCAAAGCTTAATTCACGAGTGTCTGGCATGTTAGACTTGGTTCAATCGGCATGTGTACACTCGAATAAAGCCGAATACCTTCTTGATTTGAGCGTTTAGGTGCTTTTGCTGCAAAACACTTGATTGCCCTCACCAGACAGCGCCGTGCTAAGGGAATTTCACGCGAAACGAAAAGTCAAAGCTGTTTTGCATCTAACGGTACGTGTGAACTAGCCGATTGTGCGAAAACCTCGGCTTTTCGCGTGCACGGCAATATTCACACTTTTTCAACTGTTGATCGCGGGGGCAGAGCCGTATATGTAGAGAGTTTGGTTATTCATTAAAAAGTATAGGAGACAAATGAAGAGGCGCCATTGCCCGAAAGTGGGCTGGGCGTGTTCCAGGGCGTCTTCACAAATTTGAATGTGGCCAACCAGAAGCCGGAAATAATACCCTGGTGGTGGTTGCAAGAAACAAACCTGATAAGTGGCATCGGAGTAACTCTCGGTGAATGAAAATATGCTGCACATGATGTTTCAATCACGATCACCCAAAATCATGCTGGAAGAGTGCGACTAGCGGAACTATCGACATAATCTGTACGCCAGGCACCGAGGGCCGGGAATTTGCCGTCCGAGCGGTCACGCCCTCTCCGAGCAAAACAGAGTTCGAGCGGCACATTCGTTTCTTACATCTTTCTGCATGATCACAACCAAAACATGACGTGCACCCTATTTTCAACCATGAAGGAAACATTTAACTCTTATGTGCTTATTAAAACGACGAAAACTGTTTCTCGCTACCAACGCTAAAGGATTCTTTTCGGCTTCTGGTTGGCCAAGAGAGCATGCCAAGCCCTCTTTCTGCGTCTGATGCATAGCTGGCTCTGCTTGCACCTCCCATTGACCAAACTCTGTGTAAACGGCTCCGGCGGCAGGTTACCCCGTTGAGTGTGCTTCTTACCGAACACCAATGCACTGCAGAGAAGCAACACCTACGAAGGTACCTTCTGTGGCTGTCGCTTCTCCGCACCGCACCCGTGTTCGGTAGGAAGCGCACCCAACGGGGTAACCCGACGCGATCAATTTGAAAAAAACATGAATAGTGCAGTTCATCCTCAAGCAAATATTAAATAGTGGATTATTCTAAACTGCTATTTGAAATTTCGAACAGGTATTCGCGCAACACCATAATTTATACGTGAAAAGTTTAAACACAAAATGGAAAACCAAATTCAAAATCTGACGTATAAATACAACACACTTGCGATGAAGCGGAACAGACTAGTTGAGTGTGGAGCGAGAGGCAGAAGGGAAAATGTGGGAGGAAAAAACGAGAATGCCACCTGTCATGGAGGCCGCTGCGGCAGGCGTACTCCCACTCGGCCTCGGTGGGCAGCCGCTTGCCCGCCCAGTGGCAGAAGGCCACCGCGTCGTTCCAGGAGACGTGCACCACGGGGTGGTCCATCCTGCACGGGACACTTCCGTCAGGGACATTCCTCTACAGCCACCCACAAAGAGAGAATGGCACATTTTTGGAATGCCTCCAGCACACGCTTCGTGCCTCCTAATTAATATTCATGTTATGAGGCAACGTAAGGTACTTGAATTAAAAATGATAAATCACGTGATTTGCAGGTTTGTGCCGAGCGCATACAAGGAGGTATGACTGCTGGATCGAAGGAATTCGAGGAGCAAACTACATTTCATCAAAGTGGTTGGTCAGTCGAGAATTCTCGATGCTGGCTCTATATAAATCCAGCCGAGACCTGCGATGAATATTTCGCCGTAGGGACATCGTTCTCAAATGAACGCAAATTTTGTCCAGGAACATTTCACGTGGAATTATCCCTTAGATTGCATACCAGAATTGGGAAACTAAATAGAATTATTCGAGCAATCCCTACTCAGTTCCAAAAGTTAAACATTGGCACGCCCCTATAAAACATCTTACCGGTGACGGATGCTGCTGTCGGGGCCTTCGGGGTGGCGCCAGTTGGCGCCTTTCACGGGGAGCCACCAGGGGGCTGCGGCTACCTGGGGGCAGCCGAAGGTGGGCCGTGGTGGCGTGAGCGTGCGCGCTCGGTACTACCCCAACCGCGAGCCATGGGGCACAAGCGGTACGGCAGTAAGCCGCAGAGAGCCACGATATAGTCGTGGTCAGGGGCCACCAAACTTGGGCCCATCTGCTTGCCAAGGAATCTCGGACTTTGAAGACCACAAAGCTTCGCAATTTGAGGTTTCTGCAACTTTTAAGTAACAGCATGCTCGTTTTCCTAACGTGCATCAACATCTCCATCACCTGTAATATGATCCCTCCCTAACCGATTCGCATTTGTAGACAAATAAGCCATTGTTAGCGCGCTGAACAGCGTCAGCGATCAAGCACACGGGATATCCTGAAAAATCTATCCCTGTCTCTTCCGCCATCTTGGAACTACGGCCCCGCCACCTATAGGGCGTTGCGAATATCTTGTGTCAGACAAAACAAATCTAGGTCAATCAGGGCACATATTAAAAAAACCATGAGCTCTGGACTCCCCCAGTGTCCAGGAAACATGTGCCCGACTCGAATACTCGAAAAACGTCACGGCAAGAGTATGCAGAGATTGTGGGCGTGCTTCCCCCAAGCAGCCTCGCCGAGAGCTCATCTGTGTCAACACAAAATAAAGCTATAGTAAACTTAACATTGAGCATGTTGCTCCATCATTTCAAAGTTATTCAAAGACCGGAACAAAAGGACAAAACCGCACATGCCGACACTAATTTTCAGCTCATTTAATATCAGACGAAAGTTAGCTCCCATCCGTGCTGTTCATGTCTTCCTCACCCCTGTCTTCCTTGCACTTTTTAACTGTTGTCAAAGATTTCTTCCTGCATAGCTTAGGATTTAGTTTTTCGAGGACAGCATCAATCCAGGGTTTTTGGACTTCTCCTATTTTGATAAATAATATTAGTACTAATATAATAATTATCTTTAATGACTCGAGAGAGCCACGGATCCACAGAAAGACCCCACGGCATGGAGGCCCGCAGTGCTGCATCTAGTGATGATGAATAAATGGTGATTATGAAACCAGCTTACCTACAACCTGCAGACTTCACCTGCACCTGAACTTGTCAAGAACCTTGCCTATCAAGATGGCTGTAGTAATTAAAGGTAGGCAACAATCGCAGCAAAGGCCAAACATGTCGGAGCCTTGTCCCTGTCAACACTAAGCACTTAAACGCTGAGAGAGAATTCGCAGCTCGTATTTTTTATACTGTTTATCTAGGCACAGCTGCAAAAAAACGCTCCATGTTCCCCAAGAATACTGCTATTCCGCCGCGTAATTGCGAAGGAAAAACTAATTACTTGCCAATCCTTCAAATTCAAAGTTAATTTGACCTTCGATTTGTTTCATCTTTTTTATAAAAACTAGAGCGCGAGAGAGGATGGTTTCCTGTTCTTTGTTGCATAGTTGGCACAGACCCCACAGTTAATAAGCCAAAGTGTGAAAATCATAGCCCCTTTTAGGGGCAAGTGTTACGAAGACAATGAAGTAATGGTACCGCCTGTGTGATCCCTCGCTTGGTCTCCTCGCTGATGGCGCTGTCCAGGACAAAGGAATCTCCAAACGTTTCCGCCTGGAAGAAAAGCGAGAGGAATCACTGTCAGGAAGGACGCCACTCTGCTTTGGGTGATGAAAACAAGCTCGCTCTTCAGAAGGCTCAGAGGCTCTCAGGGTTGAAAATCTCTCGCACGGCGTAGAAAACAGAAAGACGACGAAATACTGTCCGAGGGACGGCTAATAGATTTCGACTGCGTATGAGAAGTGCGTTAATTGTACCCCAGTCTCTTTTCACCATGTAAACACCGACTTGCACCCTTTCGCTTTGTTGAAAGATTCCAGCCAAGTATTTAGACTACTTGGGACAATCTCCTCGATTCCCCCACCAGGAACTTATCAGAATGGAGTGATGTCTGAAAAAAGTAAATGCTCCTGAAATAAGGGTAACAGCAATCCCTTTTATCTGAGGAGGGCTGCAGCACCGCAGAAAGACTCTGTACCATAAAAGGCCCCGTGTTAGTGGGCGACCCAGTAAAATACAGCGGGAACCAACAAGATGCAGTTAGGAGGATGTCGCATAAATTAGGGTGAGAAAGAAAACTCACTATGAAATAGTATACCTCTATCGGTATCGCCCGGAAAGGCACAACCAATTTAAAGCCAATTTGAAATAAACAAAGTACAGGGTGGGTGGATGTCAAAAAATTGTATTTTTGAAAAATAAAAACCAATTGCTGATCAAGCTTGTTCCCTAGCTAAAAGAATGGGGGTGATCAGCAACTTTTATTATGTTTGTACTTTGTTTTTATATATATATAATGTAATTAAGGGCATAATTTCTTTTTTCTTCATGTAGTCAGTTTTTTTAGGGGTATCACCTGGAGCTGTCGAGAAGGAGAGCTTCAAGATGAGAATAAAATGTTGAGGTAGCTGAGCCTCGTTTTGTTTCTGTGAAAATTACAGGTTCATTTATGTTAAAATTAAGGATTTGTTTGCCTACTTATTTCTTTTCCCTGTCCATCTTTTTTTCATTTTTTTTTTACATTAAGGAAATGGAGTTTCCTCTCTCTATAATGAAATCATTTAAGTGAAGCACAACTCTCTCCGTTTACCTGAAGGTAAGGAGTAATAGGAATATTATAAGTAAGGAGGATGTCAAAGTATAATTATATGTCAGATCCAAGATATTTACTAATCTACATGTTTTACCACTTCCTCTAATCCAAATGACGGTCAGTTTAGTTTAAGTGCGATTCAATTTAATTCGAGTGCCACCCAGTTTAATCCCAGTGCTACACAATTTAATCTTTAGGTCAGTCGATTTAATCCACAATATATACATGCACTTATTTGTCTTCAGTGTTCGTGTTTCATTTACACTTTTGATAAATTATTTGCTTGTACAATTAGATTTTGTTGGAGACAGCTGATATTTTTATCACTATTTCGATTATTTTCAGTTACTAATCGCACGATTGACAAGGTTTAATTGACATCATGTCATTTAACACCTGAGACTGTGGTGCAGGAAAGGAAAAATCTTTTAGTCGAAGGAACAGACATGTGTTCATTACTCTTTTGGTTACCTCGAGTTATCAGCGGTGCACTCGGCTTTATTTTAGCAGAACTGAAGTTTTGTCTACCTTTCTTTACTTCGACTTACTGATACAATTCAGATGATACAAGTTGTGGGGATTCCTGTGGTCTCCTTTCCCCAATGGTTGTGATAACGGCCGCGGATCGGAACGCTCAGCCGCCTTTGCCGTGAGCTCCGACCTGTTCGTGAGGCGGAGCGCCGCCTGGCTTGGGGGGCTCTCCTCTTACTCTCTCTCGGGGGGACCTTCTTCCGTCCCCCCGCTCGGATGCGAATCACTGCTGACAGGCGAGGAGGTTTCGCCTCTTGTTTGCCCGCTTTCGGGAAAGGGACTCGTCCGGGTGACCGCGAAAAAGATAGGACGTGTATCGGCGACTTCTCCGATGCTTCCCCAATCTTGGCTCACCGGAACCCCGCGTCTGGCAGGTAAGGACCTTTTCTTACCTTGCCGGCACGGGGGGCATTTTGGATGGGGACATTGTAGTTCATTTAAAAGAGGGTTTTAATAAATTCTCTTGGACTCTGCCCTTACTCTGGTACGTGTGTCTTCTCTTCCGCTATATTCGAGAGAGTGAGACAAGGTAGTCAATCATTGGCACCGACGGAGGTAATTAATCGAACCGACCCGCGGTAATGTAGTCCTAAACGTCGGCTGTACTGTTGTGGAGATGTGGGGACCACGCTGCTAGGTTTGACGTCTCCTTTGAGATCGCCGCCACTGTTGAGACAGCCCTTTGGTTACTCTATCGGTACCTGTGTTGGTAGCTAGCAACATCCCCCAAAGTTCAATTTTAATTTGCGATTACTCTTGATTACTTTGCGCAATTATTGACGCAGGTGAATTAAAGTTATTAAGTCAGCTTTCATTACTCTCGATTTCTTTGAGGAAATATTGATAAAAATATAACTTGGTAGAAGCTCATCCGATCTTCTGATTACGCTTTGGTTATATAGCTATTATTGACACCAAAAAAACTTTACAAAAGCAACATTTTCCTTACTCAGTCAATTACTTTGAATTATTGACAAATGCAACTACATAACAGTTCAGCTAGGATTTGGATTACTCATTTGATTCATTCCTGTTACTATTCACCCTATTGACTTTAAATTAACTCAATTAACCCAGTGATTACTTTTTAGAGCGCAGCTCTTAGGGGCCCGTTCCCGGCTTGAGTGGCGTCGGCGTCGGCGTAACCGCAACCCTCGTAACCCTCGTGAGGGTTACGAGGGTTACGAGGGTTAATCTCATGAGGGTTACCCTCACGAGGATCACGAGGGCCACGAGGGTTACTTACCCTCGTAACCCTCACGAGGGTTACGAGGGTTAGTTACCCTCAAAAGGGTTACCTTCACGAGGGTTACCCTCACGAGGGTTACTTACCCTCGTAACCCTCACGAGGGTTACGAGGGTTAGTTAACCTCAAAAGGGTTACCTTCACGAGGGTTCCCCTCACGAGGGTTACTTACCCTCGTAACCCTCACGAGGGTTACGAGGGTTAGTTACCCTCAAAAGGGTTACCTTCACGAGGGTTACCCTCACGAGGGTCACGAGAGTTACCCTCACAAGGGTCACGAGAGTTGCCCTCACAAGGGTTACTAGGGTTACCCTCACGAGGGTCACGATGGTTACCCAGGTCACGTGACCCCGGGGGGGGTCACGTGACCCCCCCCCCGACGTCACGTGACGCCCCAAGGTCACGTGACTCCCACAAGGTCACGTGACCCCCAAGGTCACGTGACCCCCCCCCCCAGGTCACTTGACCCACCCCCCCAGTACCCTTCCCTCCTCCTCCTCAAGAGCTGCGCTCTAATTCGGCGTTACAGGGAGTTGTAAACGGCTTTCATTTTTTTATCTTTTCCGGTTATTTTAGTAGCACAACTGCGATTATACCAGCATTATTGACATCTTGATTACTTTGAATAACTAGTGACGTATTTGACTTTATGTTGGTCTAATTGCCACAATGGTCCCCCTTAATTAGGTATTATTACTCCGAGTTTTTTATACAACCAAGAGATTTATTATTAGCTCGGTTGCCATTATGATCGCTCTTGATTACTTTGGCTTTCTATTGACTCAAGGGAGTTTGATTCTGCCTAAATGACATCATGATCAGCCTTGTGATTGCTTGGAGCAAATATTATAAGCTCGAGTCACATTATTCTTTTGATTACTTCAAGATACTTTTGACCCAATGAACCTTAATTCATCCGAATTGACGCCTAGAGGACTATTACTCGAAGCTAATATTCAACCAATTGATTTGTTATGAGCTTGACATTATGATTTCTACTTTGATTACTACTTCGAGTTACTAGTAACTCAATCAACTTTATATCAGCCTAACTCACATATTGCCGATACTGTTTACTTTGAGTTGTTATACCACCAATTGATCTATTATAACCCGATGATGATGTTGATGTTGATGCTGTTCTTGTTGTTGTTCTTGTTGTTCCTGCCGTACTCACTTTTGTGTCGTCTTGGAAGAAGAAGCATACATTGAAAAGCAAGTAAAAATAGTCGATTCACGCCACCTTGACAGAATAATTTCCAATTATGATTGGAATGCACTCATTGAAAATAATGGTTACCAAGATGCCTACTTAAAGCTTGTTAACATTCTTTCCAACTGTAGACAACTAAGCACAAAAACAATTACAATAAAAAAACGCAGGAAAAATCAACCTTGGCTCACATCAGATGTTCTTTCCGCAATGAAAACAATTTAATTTCATTTCATTTATTATACCTTAAGGGCCCCAGGGGGGCATTACATAAGGGGGTAACATAAAACACAATATAACACTTCAAGGGTTGAAATCAAATGTAGGGACAAATAGGTTGAAGGAACATCTGTTATTTTACAGTGCATATATCTTCATTATACAATCATATGCTTAGTAAGTTCTGCTAAAAACAAGGCATGATCAGTAGTTGTTACAATGGACTCAGGTAGAGCATTCCAATCCCGTATACACAAAAAAAGGGGAGAGTTTTTTTTTAATTGTTGGTTCTGGCAAAGGGCATTTCTATCTTCTGGCAATGATCATGGCGCAGGGAGACATGACTGGCTGAAGAGAAGAATTCATGGTCAGTCCAGGGCTTGGAAAACAGGTTATGAAAAAAGGATAATCTATCTACGGTGCATCTAGTTTTAAAGAGAGGTAGTGATAAAGAAGCCTTAAGGGCAGAGATGCTCGTGGGTGAGTAGTCAGCAAGAATGAATCTAGTTGCGCGGTTTTGGATTGATTCTAACATGTCGGATAGGTAAGCCTGATGGGGGTTCCAAATGGTAGAAGCGTATTCCATCTTGGAACTAACAAGGGTGCAGTATGATGGCTGTTTGATTTTTGGTGAAGCTTGACCAAGATGGCGTCTTAGAAAACCTAAAGTTTTATTAGCACTGGAAGTTATGTGTTCAATATGAGTTCTCCATGAGAGGTCAGAGCTTAAGTGCACGCCAAGGTATTTAAAA